AGTCCTCTCATTGAAAGAATTAAAATTGGGAGAACAGCTTGATTAGAAGTTTAGCTTGGCACTGGCATTTCTCAGAGTGGCAGGACAGTTCATTCTTGTCTCTTTTACTGGGTCATTTTGGTCAGTTGTGTTAAATGGTGTGTTTGCTCTGTTCAGACCCTGCTGGGCCATGAGGATGGGGTCTGAAATTCTGAATATGCATGCAGGCTAAGAGCTGGATTGATTTTATTTAGTTCAATCTTATTTCAAATGGTAATTGATGGAAGCTAGATTAGAAGTTTAACTTGGTACATTTTCTCAGTGTGACAGGACTCGTTCTTGTCACTTTGATTGGGTTATTTTGGTTGTGTTGACTGGTGTGTTTGCTCTGTTCAGACCCCGGCCATGAGGCCGGGGTCTGAATATGCATGCAGGCTGAGAGCTGGATTGATTTTATTTAGTTCAATCATAATTATTATTTCAGTTGTTAATTGATGGCTCATGCTCGCCCCCACAATGTTTACATTCACCTAGTTATTATAAAAAATAAAATACGGAAATATCCTGAATGTGACTCTTCAATTCTACGGCGTGATCATACTGATGTAGCAGCATAGTTATTAGAGGGGCGTTACTAGAATGCGGATTGCTGCGGATCGTTCCGCACGCTGAACCAAGAACGTGAACGCGCGGAACGTGCACGGACGTGTGCCTAGAATGCGGATCAACTCCCAAGAATTCAGAATATACACCATAACTTCCCGTGGATCAGTCCTCTTGTTCTTCTATTCCATTCAATCTTTATTTGTTGCAATGTTTAACTCTTTATAAAGTAAAAATAACTATTTTTAACTGTAATAATTTTAAACTTTGAATGTACGAGATTTAAGTGATGATATCAAAAGCCTTCAGTCATTGGTCATAGAATAGATTATACTGCATCTAGATCTAGTTGCAATGAAATGAGTTACAATCTGCATTAAAAACAAACATATAGTTGTAAAATTTAAACAATGAAAGTCGCCTCACAAATAACAATTATTTTCATTGTGTAAAAATGATTATTATGATATTACCAAAAATATAAAATATTCTATTGGCCAAAAATTGTTACCACCTATCATTTTTATTTGAAAGTATTCCTTTTACATAATTACAAATACTGCTCTGATTGCATTAAGATATTTAATGTAGATAAGTGTTTATAATGCTTTTATAAGCAACTT